ACGCCGAGGAGTGCGAGAGGGTGGCCGCCTCCGGCGGGTACATCGAGGACGGGTACCTCAACGGTGTGCTCTCGGTGACGCGTGCCCTGGGCGACTGGGACATGAAGGTGCCCGACTGCTCCACGTCGCCCCTCATCGCGGAGCCCGAGTTCCAGCAGGCGACGCTGAGCGAGGACGACGAGTTCCTCATCATGGGGTGCGACGGGATCTGGGACGTGATGACGAGCCAGCACGCAGTGAGCGTGGTCCGGCGCGGCCTGCGGCAGCACGACGACCCCGAGCGGTGCGCGCGGGAGCTCGTCATGGAGGCCAAGCGGCTCGAGACGGCCGACAACCTCACCGTCATCGTGGTGTGCTTCGGGTCGGAGCTCGGGTCGCCGCCGCCGCCCCCCGCTGCTGCGGCGGCGAGGCCGCGGAGCTGCAAGGGCCTGTCGGCGGAGGCCCTATGCAACCTGAGGAGCTGGCTGGAGACTGACCGCTAGCTCTAGCTTGAGATGCCTGCTCTGCTCCTGCTCCCTACCTAGTGCTGCTGGTCGGTTCGTTCCCACGCTGTAAATATGCTGACATCGGTCGAGGAATCGTAACTGCCACTTCCCTTTTAGTTCCTACTACCATTTTTTCAGGCGCTAGCCCGGCAGTTTTTGTAGGGCATTCTCCCATTGTTTCCTGTGCTTTTTCTCTTGCCGTTGCTGTTATTGCTCACGCCATTGCTGTTGTACATCCGTTGCCTCCACGGATGGACCTGCTCTGCTATTGAGCTCTGGTCAACTCGATTCAGAGAAGTGTGAGTGTTGTTTAACGGGACGTCCGTTGCCACTTGCCACGTATGAGTAGAGATATAAAATTAGTCATTTTCACCAAAAAAGAGGAAGAGAAAAAAATAAAATAACTCTTCGTGAAAAATTAGGATCGATGCTTCATCATCAACTAGAGATCATAGAGTAGCAGGTGCCGTGGTGAGTGAATGAAGCCAGACAAGACTTAGCGGTAGAGGTAAATTTAGCAGAACATACCACTATCTCGATCCGCGCCGGCAAGTTAGCCATGGTGGTGGAATGGCTGGCACCAGCACCACCAGACACGCCCCCTCACTCACCTAACCCACAGCTCCCTTTTTTTTCCCTAACACAACCCCTAGTCGTCAAGAATAATTCTACTACCTTTCCGAAGCCTGTCTTTCATAAATCTGATGAGACACCTAAAAATCAGCTGCAGCGATAGCAGGTGGGTTCAATGCACCTGCACCACCCACGCATACACAGCTGCAAAGTCCAGAAAACGAGAGCTAGAAGAAAGAGCCGCTGCATTTGACCACGGAAGGGAAGGTGATAGGCAATGCACAAATGTTGTATTGAGCCATACAGCGACGGCGGTCCGCCGTCGGCATCGACCAGTCACTGGCCTGCCCCAGCGCTCGGCCAGTCAGGTGACACACGGATGGGCCAGGCCGCCTACCCACAAGAGTCAAATGATTACAGGTAACAACAGCTACAGCTACAGACGCACTACGACGAGCGAGAACGCAAGCCCGTGGTGATATGATACACTACGATGTGATGCTGCTGGCCATAGCTCTCGTGGCAGTTATCTTTTGCTCTCTCCCCTCCGGGCTAAAGGTGAAATCCACGAGAGCTGACAGCAACGCGAGAGGAACACACAACAAGCAATGGTAAAGCAGCAAGATTTGTGATGTTCTAGTAGATAGCAAGCCGATGGGGGCTGTCACTGTGGCGGTATTTGAGTCGCATGTCATGCCGCTGATGCTGATACGGGACGACTTCTATCTACTCTGCTGAGTGGACATACATATCCGAATCCTGCGCGTGGTGTAGAATTGTTACTGTCCACTATGGTGCACTTCTTGGACGGGTTAACTTGACATGGGCGTCACGGCGGATCTTCCGAAAGGGAGGATGAGGTCGACCATGGAGTCGTACTCCTCTCTGCTAACCTGAGCCGAGTTTAGGATCTGCAGTATGCACAAGGAAAAACAGTCAAGAAACACATAGGCATCCTTGTATTTGCATACCAGAGAGGTACGGAAAAGAAACGCCACCTTCTGCACGAGCTTTGAGTCTGAGATCACTGGAGCAAGAGCAGGAAGCTGGTGCACAGAGAGTGCGTCGAGCAGAACAAGAACCAACAGTTGCCATTGCCTTGATCTCAGAGCAGGCAGTGCGTCAACAAGTGACATTGTGTCAATCAAGTATCCCTGTAGTGGCAACCAGATACTCTCATTCGATTATCCAAAAGCATGGTGCAAGCAGAAACAAATGGCTCTGCAAGTGAGGAGCAAAATAGTTGCTCCCTCCGATCCATATTAATTGTCGCTGATTTAGTAGTTGTACTAAATCAGTGACAATTAACATGGATAGGAGGGAGTATCAGATACTAGCATCAAGCTAACCTATCTTTTCTTTTATGCTGAGTTGATGTTAGCCAGGAAAAGAATGCAGCAGAGGTTCCAAGTATAGGAGAAGACAGATACAAACAAACACTAGCCAATGAGGACATACACAGGTGCAACTAGTCTTATCTCTATCTAGTAAAGAAATATGCACATTCTACCCATTTTATATTGTATAAAGAAATATGGAATCCCAACTCTACCAGAGTAATTTCTCAAATGTACTCGGCTGTTGTTTGCTGATAGTAGTGATCGGTATTCTGTTCCAGCTAGTAATAAGCCTAAAAACATTGATATGCAAGTAAGTTTAGGACTCCAGGTAGCAAAGTATATATTTGGACCAACTGTAAATCAGGCAATAAACTCACTCAGAGTATATTAATTCATACCAGAGTAGTCTCCAACTTTGAAACTGGGATTTGCATCCTCATGTTTGATACAAGTACCGGCAGTGCATTAGAAATGCAAGAAGCTAAAGCTCTTTTAATTTCAGATGATTGGCTATCTTTCGAAACTCGCTTCTCAGGATACTCTCTCCCATTAGAAATCAACATCTCTTCCACAGAACTGTCATCAAGCATGTATACATAGGCTAAAGATGACCGGGATATCCATCCAAATATTGTGGTCCACATTGTTGCAAAAGCAGACAGCTGAAAAGATATGCATGTCATTGCTAAATTTCAAAATGAATTAAAAGAAACAAAACTACCACTTTCTCTCAAAAATGCTTACTGTTAAACTGAAACCTTCTGGCGGTGTGTCGTGCCAAGAATCATCAACTTCAAACATGTCAGTGTCCAGAAGCACAGTCTTTGTTGGCCACTTCACAACATCACCATCTGTTTCAGATACTACCTTTTCCATTGTATCTTTGCCATGGACATTCTCGAACTGTTTCTGGTGAAGCGTGTCAGGCAATATGATGATACCTGCCTTTGAAACTGTATTCAGGAAGCTTCAGGTCATTTTATCAACTACATAAGAGTATTGCATATCAAAGGATCACAAGGTTACAGAAAATATGTTCACCTGCATCTTCCACTTCCGATGTGCCTGAAGAAATAGCTCCTGCAGCTTCAATAAGGGCTGATGCACAAGCCTCTGCAGATTCACGCCTTAGTGAACTGTCAATGTCCTCCATAGATAGATTTTTAGCATCTGAATCGATGTCATATGCTTTGCTTGCTTCTAAGATGCTCCCATTATCATCTGCCCATGTTACAGACTGACTTCTGTTCTTAGACCCTACAGCCTTCAGTGAAGATTTTAGTGCAGCACTAACCTTCTCGTCACTTGTCCCATTTTTTTCAAGGTCCACTGCTTTACCGAATTCTTTGTGTAGTTGTTCAGTGTAAGTATGCATTGAATCTCTTACTGTGTATTGAGATGATTAGGGCTGATTATCGATGAGGATGGAACTTGAGAAGTCATATTGACCCAAAGGCCCTTGATCCATCTTTGCCGAAGCAGGATCCCCCATAATGATTGTGCTAGTAAAGCCTACTTCATGGCGATTACTTCCAGCGGGTTTTCTTGCAGGCTTACTCTTGTATGCCCTTGGTGATGCTCTAGTTGATTTCTTTTTCTTCTTGTCATTTCTCTCTTCCAAAACTACATGCTCTAGTTGCTTCGCAATGGAATCAGTTATGCAAGGCAATAACATATCCGTATCTTCATCCTGTTGGAAAATCTTTGATAGGGCTTTATCTACTTCTTTTTCCTTCGTTTTTGTGCTCTCATGAAGGACCATGTCATCAATTTTTTTAGCTATATCTTCAGAGCCCACTTGTGCTTCAACTGAAGATGAAACTGCCATGCTATGTTCGCCAGGAACAGCAGCCCCAGAATTCAGGTTCTTACTCCCGGACAGCTCAGCTCTACTAGCTTTGCCCTGTTTAGCCTGTGGCATTGGCCCTGAAATACAGAACACAAGCTCACTGTTTCTTCAATTGTTCGAAACTTAAGACAAGCCGAACAAAGGGAATGAGATAAGCATCGTGTAAGCATCCTTTCACGTACAGTAATGTGCCTGCAAGTAAAACTACTGTCACTATTATAACATTTATTACACCAGTCTCTACAACATTATTGAATAGAACCAACCAACAGGATGTACCACTAACAAAAACTGATTTTATATCTTGTGTTCAACTTTTAAGAACCTGAAATTTCTAAAGAAGACGACTCCGAGTCACCTCTTCCTCTAAATTCCTAAAGGTGGTCGCAAGGCAGGTTTGCCCCATTGCCAGCGACCTGCCCCGCAAAAAACGCCCTTGACAGTTGTAATAACCAACAAGCTCCCACTTAGTTTTATTGTAGATACAACAAAATTTGAAAATATAGCCAGGATTGCATGTATTCATCTGGTTGGAGGCTAATTCTACATTCTAATATCACATAGCCCGTATATTTCAATTGCAATGGCTTGCCATACATCCACATAGAATGACAGAACTCTGCACCCTGAGACGATAAAATATCTCGCTTATTCAGATCAATCCACATAAAACTCCCAGCACCCAAAGACAATAAAATGCCTCAGCTATTCTCAACAACCCTATTGTCCTCCCGTCAACCAATGGCAGCATAATCAAATGCAAGAATGAACATCTAGACTACAAAAAATCGCAAAGTAAATAACAGGGTTCAGCATGAAACAATCACCTTCTTGAATGGGGTGATGGTGGGGCACATAGCCCTCAATGGCGCCCGACGGCCCAATCCACTCCTGCAGCGTCACCTCGCCAGGCCCAGGCGCCTCCTTCTCCACAATCTCCACCTTCCTCCCCTCGTCCTCCTTCTTCCCGCCGTCCGCCCGAAACCCTAGCCCCGGCCCGGCCCCGCTGCCCTCGAAGAGCGCGGCGAGGGCGTCCAGCCTGTTGGGCGGGATCCCGAAGGGGCGGTCGGGCGGGAGCGAGGCCGCGAAGGCCGCGGAGGCGACGAGGCAGCGCTCGGAGCAGAACTTGCGGGCCTCCTCGAGGTCGTAGACGCGGTGCTCGCGGAGGGAGATGTGGAACCGCGGCGCCGCCTTGGGGTTGGCGGGGTCGGGGAGGGGGCTGGTGCACGCGGGGTGGCCGCACGCCTCGGCGATGGAGCGCTCGGTGACGACGTCGTCGTAGTCGGCGCGGGAGAGCACCGCGGCGGCCGCGTGGAGGAGGGGCTCGTTGGAGGCCGCCGCGCCGTCGAGGAGGGCCAGCTGCACGCGGTACACGGCCCCGGCCACGTTCACCGTCGTCCTCGCCGCCGGCCTGGCGGCGGCGGCCGTCGCCATGGGGAGGGGGTTGTGGTGGGGACTAGAGAGAGTTTGGAGATTTGGGGAGGGAGACAAGCGTGGGTCGAAGCAGACGGCAGACGGCAGATTATTGCGCATGTGTTTTTGGTTGGGCTATTTTGGGGGCGATGGCGGGGTATGGCGGTTCTTGTAGTTGGGCCCACATGATGGTGCTGTTGTGGGCTGGGGGCTGTGTGGACGGGTAAGATGAAAATTGGCCCATGCAATTTGGGTTTGCGGTCTAGTAAGTTTATGTTAGTGTATCGTGTTATTTTGTCTCAAAAGAAATAGTGTATCGTGTGTCTTTATGGCGCACGATACGAATCAGCCGGATGATTTGTCTATGAAATCATCCGCCTACCTAGCCGTTAGATCAACGTGTTGATGGCCATTCGATGCACCAACTCCACGGCAGCAGACCAGCTTCAACGCAGCGCTACTGGCAACCCCGGCAAAGCTCCACTGCAGCATAGTGCAACGTGTCTATAGCTCCAACACAGCACCGACGGAGTCCGGTGAAGTTCCATTGCAGCCCCAGGGAAGCTCCAACGCAGCACCGACAGAGTCCGGCGAAGCTCCAACGCAGCATCGACGGAGTCCGACGAAGCTCCATTGCAGCGTCGTCTATGCTTCCGCCGGAGTTGAGGGAGATGGCCCGACGCACCGTTCCGACCAGCCGCACGACTACCCTTAGAGTAGCAGTGGTGTTGTTGCAAAAAAGCTGCAGCATCAGGCATGCTCACCGGAGCCTCTTTCACTGGTAGCGCCAGTCACGTTGCAACGCAGCACCGCCGGTGACGACGGCCGGAGTTGAGGGAGATGGTCCGTCACGGCAATGGTGCGGCTGCAAAACACATGGATTGCAGCGTGGAGTGGCAGTGGCGAGCGGGAACCTTACAGCCGTGCTGGCCAGAGATGCCCTCCCGCCGACCTTGCTGCAACCGTGTCGTAGCGTTGCCAGTGTCGACCTTCGTTGCTTGCATCAATAGCGGTTGCGACTCCTGCGAGCCATGGTAGTAGGGTGGCTGCTTTGCCCTATGTTTGCAACAGGGGCGGTGTTGAAACAGAGTAGCATTATAAGGCCATCGACGGCGTCCACTTCCGGTTCCCAGGTTTGTTGGTGGTGCTCGCCATGGGATGGATGGCCTCTTCAGCTCTTCTCTGGTAGTGTCGCGTGAGGATGAAAAGGGGAAAAGAAGAAAAGGGATGCAGAAGACACACGACGAGTAGATAAGGCTGGGATGGAGTGGTGGTGGCCACACAGGGGACACGTGGTGCGCATAGGATGCGGTTTACGGAGACAAGAAATCATCTGGATTAACCCAAATGTTTTCCTTTTTTTATTAGTTTGATTCTCTGTGGAGCTGAAATCTTTCTTTGATATTATGATGACGATCTGTTCAATGGCCTGCACTCCTAGAGAATCGTTCCATGCACATTCACAGCTTAAAAGTTTTCCATCTTTTTGGAAGGGCAACTCCAGGGGCTTTCAAAGGCCTTTATATTTTTTAGAAAACTTTAGAAACCTTTATTAGTTGTAAAGTTCGTGCGGGCAAACAAGCAACATCATCGTTGCTTCAATCCATTGGCAGTTTTGAAGTCTTGGTAATATTTCGTGTTGCATAGAATGATAGTTTGGTATTACGGAGAAGATGACTCCAAAAGGTTTCAGTGTAATTCTTAATTATAGTAGCTATTTCGTAGTTTCCTAAATTCTGTATTCAAAGCATTGTACTTGTAATGGTTGCTAGTATGAATATATTTTTTCAAAAACAAGGACTACACGCCAGGGACCTATTTGATGTTTATTGCGATATCTCCTATTTGACGACTTGTTGCATTAAACTTGAGGGAAAATGCACACTGCATCACAACTGGGTCGGTTCATCGGCGCAATGACACTAGGGCTGTAGCAAGTGGAATTAGCATATGGGTGATTTTCTTTCAGTTTTGCTAACGCACATCTAGATGTGCCCTAAGTATTGCACATTTAAGTCCTATGCCATTGAGTCCATGTGAAGATTCGTGCAAGCATTTTTATTAGTCTTTTTTTTCTTTTTTCTTTTTAGTTTGATTGAGTCACTTAGATGTGCAATAACTAAAGCATATGTAGATGTGCCCTGGACAAACCCATTTTCTTTCTATTACTTTGATAATCTAGCGGATTTTTTCCCTACTTTAGTGATTTTCAATCAGATTTTTGTATTCCAAAAAAACATGAGTGTTTGCTTACTTTAAAAAATGTACATTTTTTAAATTTAAGAGTTTTGTTTAGAAATTGTGAATATTATTGAAAAAGATGAACGAATTCAATATTAATGGATTTTTTAAAATCTACAAGCTATTGTCAAAATTTTGGAGGGGAACACACAAGGTGCATGCGAGTGGGGAAGTGCATAATGAACCCGGGTACATATGAACTCACTTTAAAGAACATATTTCTAAATGCCAAAAAAATCTAAAAAAGTTTGCACGCATACATCTTCATGTTCTATGTGCGTGCATAAAGTTTTACGAAAAAATAACTTTTTTTTGAGCCCTGTGCAAAAAAGACAAAAAGTTTTGTCGTGAAACGCTATTTAGAAGCACTGAAATTTGTCTTTTTACGAAGGCAAACCAGAAAAACATTTTTTCACAAAACTTTATGCTGTGTGCACACACATTTGCGAACATGTATGCATATAATTTTCTGTTATTTTTTTAACATTTCAAAACATGCTTAAAATGCAGTTTTTTAGAAGTGGGTGCAGATGCCCATGCGTTCAGATAGTGCCCACTCCATGCGAGTGGGTCAACACAATTGATGCCTCGGATAGTTAACGGTTTGATTTTTCTTTCCTTCTTTGAATTTTCTGGACGGTCTTCTCCAAGAAAACGGATGCAACAATATAAAAAAATATTCCCAAAAGTTAAATAAGTAATTTAATTTTAAAAGAACTTCACAAAATAAAAATTTGTTCAAATGTAGGAATACAGAACGTTCACAAAAATTTAATTTAATTTTAAAATAATTTCACAAATAATCAGAAAATTTGTTATATTTTTTTGATCCAGAACGTTCACAAAAGTTTTAAAACTATATTATGAATAAAAGTTGTCGAACTTTAAAATTGTGTGTGCACTTTTAGAAATATTCATAAAATGTTTTAAAGAACTAATTTTACAAATTTATAAATGTGAAAAAAATCTCCACAAATTTTAAAACGTTCATGGATCAAACAATGTTCAATTTTTTGAAACATTTTATTTTTTTTGAAAATGTTTGCAACTTAAAGGAATGAAAACAAAAAAAAACGAATACTGACAATTGGGGTAGAGAGCATCAAATGGGATTTCTCTACGCACCATGTAAAATTCATCGCTTTGTGTGCAGGGTGGCCATAGACTGGACCTATCCTTGTGCCCAAAATTCTTCCGTTGCTTTTCCTCTTTCTCATTTTTTCTTTGGGTCATTTTTCTTGAATGTTCTTTTGGTTATTCGGTTTCCATTATGTTTTCCTTCGATTTTTTCCCACTATTTGGTTCCTTTTTCCTGATTTTCTTTCTTTCATCTTTTTCCTAATTTATGAACATTTTTTTAATATATGTGAACATTTCTAAAAATACAACAACATTAATTTATGAACATTTTTTAAATTCATGAATACATTTTAAGATCAGGAACATTTTTAAAAATACGACAACAATTTTTGAAATTCGAGAACGTTTCTACATTCATGAAATTCTTAAAAAATCATGGACATTTTTTGAAATTCGAGAACACTCTTGTTCATCTGCGAACTTTTTAAGAAAATCATGAACATTCAAGAAAAAAAATTCTTGGTTCATGTGAAAGAAATGACTGAAACACAACCAACAGGAAAATTTGAAAAAGAAAGATAGAAAAATGCGTTGGAATAAACTAATGAGAGCAGCACTCGGTACCGGCAATTGGGCCTACCCATTACTGCAGCCTTTTTGTGCTTCTCTGTCATTTTGACGCAGAGAGTGTCTAATCGAAGCTCACACACATCATAGGATCCAATATTACTGATGAAGAATACTACCCGTGTTAAAAATAATTGAAGTTATGGGTTTGTTTTAAATCAAGCTTGTTTAAGTTTGACCAACACCAATTTAGGCTCACAAAAGTCTGTGAAATATACTAGCATATCATATATAAAGTTGGTTAAACTTAAATAAGTTATTTTAAGACAAAAAAGGTAAAAATGGACAAGGATAAATGATAAAGGATAAAAGAAAAGAAGGCCGACTTAGTGGATCCCCATTTGACACGAGGTCCCTTACAAAATGAGTGGCACGAGACCTTGCAGAATATTCTATCGTTGGCAGAGTGCACCAACAAACAAATTGCTTGTCCACTTAAATTGGTGGCGACTACAATACGTAATACACTATGCTTCCTAATTTTTAAGATCTCACAATTAATTCAGGTCTTCAATTTAAAATCGGTCATCGAACTTTAACCGTGTTAATAATTTCTTAAGAAGCTCTCTCATAATTCTGTATGCTCCTTAATTTTAAAGCTTTTTCATTTGATTGAGCTATTCAAATTTGGATTTGATTCATGATTCTAATCGGATTAATGATTTTAAAATCAACCAGGAGCAACTGACCTATAAAAATATATCAATCCCGTGCACCTTCTCACCCAATCTGATGAAAAAAAGAAGCGTTAGACATGTGATATTGTAGCACTAAAATAGTACATAAAATACCGATACATAAAAGTATGAGTTGATTAGTGCAAGTGCATCTAGTGCCATGTAACGCCCACGATGCGGCTATATCTCCCAAGTGTCGGAGCACGACTTAGAGGCATAACCGCATAGTAGGCATGTCACAAGAGGGGTAATCTTTACACATCCCATGTACTAAATAAGAAAGGGATAAAGAGTTGGCTTACAATCACCACTTCACACAATACATGAATATAGCATTACATCATCCAGAATACAATCAAGGTCCGACTACAGAACCAAATAAAAGAAGACCACCCC